GAAGGGGGGCTGCGCTGGACTTGACGGGAGAAGGCGTCAGGATGGGGGGGTCTGGCTCCTCCCCTCCCGCTGAAGCGGCCGGCCTGACACTGGGCCACATGGGTGCGCCCAAAGCCGCGTACCAGCACCCCCGGCTAAACCACCAGCGATCCGGCCCTATTACGGGAGCCGGCACAGCAGCACCAAGCAACACAAGCACCCTCACCACAGCAAGTCCGACCCCACTTTTGGGAACTTGATCCTACTGGGACAGCCCTCTCCTGGGGACCCCCTCAACTGGGGAACCGAGAGCAACGCCGACATCTCCCCTGTCGTCTCCTCCCTCCCACAGCCCGGCAGCCCGGACGATCCGAGACATCCACTTCCTCCCACCACTAAGGTACTAGGACAATTCCACTTGGGCTGGGATTTTCTTGGGGTCAGCTGAGCTAGGGTTTGCGCCAAGAGATCAAGATACTTATGGGCAAGGCAGCAGTGCCGGCAGGTCTCCGCCGGGGTCTGGACTAGAGCTGTTAAATATCGGTTAATTGAATAGTCGAGTAACCTCATGAATTCTTATTGGTTAGTCGACTATTCTAGAGTCCCCGGGGGCGGAGCCGGCAGCCAGTGCGCTCCCGCCTCACTTCTGAGAAGCCCCCTGCCAGGTGGGAGCTGGTCCACAAGGGGAGCCAGTTTAAAAACCAGCTCCCCTTGCAGACTGGCTGCCTGTCGCCCTGTGATGCTGCCTCTGATGAAGAGGCAACAGCACGGGGCGGGTGAACTCCTGGACCTAGCATGAGCCAGAACTAAATGCAGAGCTGCAGTGGGTAGGTCCTGGACCCGGCATGAGCCAGGACTGAGTTGGGCCGATGACCAGCCTGCTAAAAAATTGACTGACCCGTCTCCCATGCTGTGGCTACCTCTTCCCTAGCGCAGTGCTCACAGCTGCAGCATTTTAACTAGAGCAACAAGGAGGCGGAGCCCCACGGAGCCCCTTGTGTCAGTTCACTCTAAGGCAGGGGTGGGGAACCTCAAATCCGGCCCCCTGAGCCAGGACTGAGTTGGGCCGATGACCAGCCTGCTAAAAAATTGACTGACCCGTCTCCCATGCTGTGGCTACCTCTTCCCTAGCGCAGTGCTCACAGCTGCAGCATTTTAACTAGAGCAACAAGGAGGCGGAGCCCCACGGAGCCCCTTGTGTCAGTTCACTCTAAGGCAGGGGTGGGGAACCTCAAATCCGGCCCCCTGCTTCCTGGGATCCGGCCCCCAAAGCTCAGCCGCGCCCCCCATCGGAGGAGCTAGTGCAGCGATGCCAGGGCAGGGATGCCCCAGCCAGACCAGCCCGAGCCCCGAGGGAAATCGCGCGGCCTTGTCTCCGGAGGGAGGTCCGTGTGGCCCCTGCGGCCCCTGCTTACTGTGCACTTCTGTCGGCCCC